CCTCTGGTGCAAATTACTGACCTCTGTCATCATTTTAAGTGGGGGAACTTGCACAATCGGTGGCTGACTAAATACTTTTTTGCCCCACTGTAGGTTATGGCAGGTCCCATGAATTCCTATTCTTAACTTTACATCATTTGGTGATTCATCACCATTCGTCATATTTATCACATTTATTTATATCGGCAAAACACATTGATGCTAATTGAAATATATTAACCAAAAATTCAGAGGTATGCTTTTAATAGGGCACTGAAGGTTTAAGCTGCACAGCCAGTCAGACAGAAAAAAAACTGCAGGAGCAAATGCTTCCCACTGGCTGCCACTTACCACTAATGTTAGAAAAATGATAAATTAGTTCCGGCATGCTGTCTGGAGTCTATGTGTTCACGTGGGTGTGTATGTCTGCCAGTGAATGCTTCCTTCCTGTAAAGTGTTGTGTCGCATGCCAGGAGTTCACAGTGTGAACAGATGTTAGTCAGTATTGCCCTGGGTTTCTGCACCACAGTCAGGCATTTTGTAGGGTCCTCGGCTCTGAGGAGGAGTCCGTGGAGATGCCTGAATTGCTTTATCGAGCGGAACACAACTAAGGACACGCAGGCTCACAGCAGCTGCCAAGAACACACACAGACATGCGAACACAAACACAGCATTTGCTCCAAGCATGTGCAACACAAACCCACAAACAGCTGGGATACAAAAAATCCACTCATTTGGTATAATAATATAAACAAACACACACAACTCTGTAAAATAAGCACTCTTAAGTTAACTTTCACCCCAGCATATTTCTTACAGAGTAATGGCTTAACTGCTGACTGAATATGGCAGCTGTAGCTTGAACCCCACAGGAAACCCTGCTCCAGACAATATGGACTATCAGAACTGGAATAATCTAAAATTTGAAAGGATAACGAGAAAACACGTTTTAATACAATCTCCTTTTAATACAACTCTCGTGACAGTTTCTTTTTTAAAATGTAATACGTTGCTTCATTACAATAACACCTACCAACAGTTTCCATATTTAGCTGCTGCTTGTCACTGAGACACAGATGAAGGAAGAGAAAATAACTGATGATGTTGAAGACCATGGGAAAGGTTTAAGCTGTCTCTTTAGATAGCATCATATTCTCTCTGATCATTCACAGTTATACTGCAAAGACTAATATCTATACTTAGGCTTGCATGCACCCAAAGAAACTGGCTCATTTGGAATGAAAGATAATGCCAATCAAAGTGACAGACAAAATAAATAAAAATGGTCAAACTCAGAGGTGTGTTTATACATAAGTACATGTGTTTGTGTTTATACATAAGTACATAAAGGGGGACAAACGCACATCACAGGTCTGATTTGACACACGCTGACACATAAGGATTGATGTGGACTCACTGTCATATAGTGAGCTGTCAGCACACACACACTAGCTAAGCCAATGCTCTATATCTGATGCGATAATCATGACATAACTGTGAGATGACAGCAGACAGAGTATTGGTGGCCCAGACACATGCATTTGCAGGCATAAATGCACCAAACAGGTGTTCAGATAAAACAAGAGTAAATGTTGCAGAAAGTAGGATTTTTGCTGAATTTTAATTTGAAGACTCAAGCAAAGAAAATGTAATTCAGTTCAATTCAGTTGTAGTTGTAAAATGCCACAATAGTTGCAAGTATATGTGTGAGAGTGATAGGGCCTATGCTAGTTTTAGTCAGGAGATAAAGATGCTCCAAAAGAAAAAACTCTATTTGCATATATGTAGACATCCCATCCACATGGCTCCATAGTTCCTAAAAAGTATTTGAAACCACATATAATGATGAATAATAGGGTAAATTTTTCTTTAATGGCTTGACATGAATTACCAATCCAAACAAATTATAGTATCAATAGTAACAACAGCAGAGCACTTTAAGGTAATGCAAGTCATCAGATATTAATACAATATGTAATTGTACCATCTTGATATACTGTGCTGATTTCCATCAACCCATTTTCTTAACTGGTTATCTAAGTGAGGGTTGCAGTAGGGCGGGAGCCTATCTCAGATGAGATGCAGGGTACACCCAGGAAAGGTTCTCAGCCAATCACAGGTCTAACATTCAGCAACAGATATACATGCTCAAATTCAGTTAATTAGCAAATTGATTATTTAATTAACTTAAGAAATTCTCACAAAAGCACATTGAGGTTCCAGAGCTGAAGGTTTGAACCGTGTTGTCTCGTTGTTGCTGTGAGGTGAGACTGTGAAACTCCAATGTAAAAGTCACAAATCTCAGTTTCAGTCTTTGATGATGGCACTGGGGTTATTTTTGAAAGACTGTCAAGTTATATTTACGAGTAACCAAATTCAAACACAACCCTAGATAGGAAGCCTCTGAATTTATCCATAAAAAGAGTTCCATCTTAGTCTCAGCTCAAGTAAATAAAGTTCAAAAGTCTCTTTTTTGCTGCACAGCTTGTCTTCACTCCTCAGGTTTGCGTACTTATGCAATCAGCTGCCTGGGGGAGTCTGATAGATGTTGAATGCATATGAACTTGACTCTCTGACATGACAGCAAATTTCATACAAACTCAACAAAACACAACTAAACAGGCACACAAAAACCCAGAACACACAAAAAAACTATTTTCACCACCTTTCCACTAAACTTAACTTTTCAAAAGTGAAAAGTGATGTGAATGCAAAAAGAAGCTCATTCTGTTCGAAGAAAGGTTCAGATACTCTTTATACTCGTTATCTCTTTATGTTAAGCACTCTCTTTTCTCTTTTTTATCTAAAAATAATTACTCAACACAAAGGTCAGACCTACGTGTATGACTGAGGTCGTATTTCAATGGGTTTTGGGACGAATATGTTGATAAATATTATAATAGTATAAGTATAAGTATAATAGTAAAGCTTTCAATGGAGCATAAACAAAATAAAGTGGTTTTGTGGCCATGTAAATGTGTGGGGGAAGGTGTGTATTGTCATACCTTCATGTAAAGGCAAAGCATTTGTGATGCACAAACACTGATAAACACTCCCAAAGCTTCCCTCCATGCACCCATGCAGAAATCATCCTTGATGTGCCTGCAGTACGACGTGTACAGTGTATGTGTATGAATTGAATGTGGCTAAACTGTGTGTTAGCCACATTCACTGTGTGGTACAGTGTTATTATTTCATACACCCGTCTATAGTATGTGTGCAAACCCCCCATTAAAAAATCAAAATGAGACAGGTGTGAACTTTTATTGATTGATTTAACCTTTAAAGTGAGTGTCGTCCCAATCTATCCAGCTTACAAATGCACCCAACAGCAGGAGGAATGCTGTCCTTTACTAGCAGCATTATGCTATAAGGCAAAGAAGAAAATGGGCGTACTGTAGTGCATTCATGTCATATTTGAAGTTGAAGATGTACAAAGATGACATACTACAAACACACACACACACACACACACACACACACACACACACACAGG